ATCTGTTTATTATTATAATATTTCTGGCCCCGTAAATTACACGCATATGAGTGCATTTTTTAAAACACGCAGCTGGAATATTTGACATTTAAGCAGCCACGCTTAAATGTAACATTTTTTAGTAACAGTAACTCGGTCATGTCTCAACTCATCATGTCTCACTCACTCATGAAAGGAAATCATGTCTCTCCCTTATTCATAAAGGATTCACACATGTATCCCCCTCCTCCTGAAAGCAATACACATACTTGCCACCTTTACTCACACACTCATACCCCCCCCCCCCCCAGCAAGAATCAAGTCTTAAGTTTGGCACATGGCCCCCGTAGGCGTACGGTAGTGCCAGAAGGGCTGAAGAGAGGAGTGCCACGGAGCATATGGCTCACTTGGGATGAAAGCAGATGGAGGTTGAAAGGCCGGTTTTTAATGAGGGTTACTGTTATTGTTGCTATTATTATTATTATCATTCTGAAGATGAAGCACATTCTGGCTTTATATGCGTTCAATCGGCAAGGGACGTACGGCCACAGTACGGGAGTTGCGTCTAAACGAGCGTTGAAATTGCGAGGGATGTAAGGATAAAGGATGGCGCCGTGCCTTCGCCGTGCAGTCGTTTCTACTCATGCGTCGTGTGTCTGTCGCACAGCTGTCGCAAGACTACTGTACTTCTTCCTTACTACCTGTACGAGGCACACACGTTCCAAAACGCAAGTGGCGCTGTGAGCTTCTTACGTCACCCACAAGGGCAGCACGGCACGATTACGTCGCTCTCACGTCCGCATTCACAATCAATGCGAAGCCCAAACGCTCTTGCGACGGGAGTTTGCAAAGGCGATCGCAATGTTGTTCCCGCAGTCGAGGCAACGCGGCGGATTGGTTCCCAGAACCTAACTTTGCGACGGAATATTGGAACAATCGCATGAGCTCGACGCCTGGTTATGCAAAACAATAATTTCTGCTAATTACTTTTTTGAAAGTTGAAGTTGAAGTGTCTCCTGGAGTTGAAGTGTCTCCTGTTGAAGGTTCTCCTTCAGTTGAAGTGTCTTCTCCAGCTGAAGTGTCTTCTCCAGATGAAGTGTCACCTCCAGTGGAAGTGTCTCCAGGAGTTGAAGTGTCTCCTCCAATTGAAGTGTTTCCTTTTGAAGGTTCTCCTTCAGTTGAAGTGTCACCTCCAGTTGAAGTGTCTCCTGTTGAAGTGTCCAAAACCCTGTTTACAAGATCATCGATGCCATATTGGAATTCGAGTCCATTGTTGACGTTTATTTCTGAACGAAATAAGACCGTCTTTATTTTCTAAAAACGTCTTCTAAAAACAAAGGTGTCTCATTCCATCCCAAAAGAGCCATTCATATGCTCCTTGGCACTCCTTCCTGCAGCCCCTCTTGGCACTAGGGAAGGCAGAAGGGTTTCGTTTTGATTGTGAATACGGCCGTTTGTCCCGGCTTACGAGTTGCCTACTACTTATTATTATTATTATTTTTTACTTCCACGCAGGGGCGGGTCCAGAGAATTTTCTGTGGGGCACAGGGTACAGGGGGTAACAACAATAAATCTGGAGGGGCCGCTCAAAAGTAAAAAAAAAATAAGGCTACCCACTTCAATTTTTATATTGTACAGTTACACATTGTTTCTGTGTTCATCTTGATTTTCTTGGTCACATTAACTTTGCTGGTGCACAGAACACTGTGATGCTTGCTGTACAGTTAGTCAGAAGTTGGTGCTTCTGACCATTGGGGGCACCCAGAGTGGCTAGTAGCCCCACAAAGATTTGCAGATTGCAGGGGGGGCACATGGGGTGGGATTGCAAGGGGTGGATTGCAGGGTGGTGGCCAATCAGATTGGGGGGGGGCACGGGTGGCCAATCAGATTGCAGGGGGGGCACATGGGGTTCAGATTGCAGGTGGGGGGGGGGGGTGGCCAATCAGATTGCAGGGGGGGGGCAAGTCAGATTGCAGGGGCAGGTCAGTCAGATTGCAGGGGGCAGGGGTGGTCAGTCAGATTGCTCCCCCGTGCCACCATGGAAGCCCTGCCTCTGCCTCCACGTCCTCCATGACCTTCGGCAGAGAAAGCAGAGGATGCACGATTTAAAATTCCGTGCGTCCTATTGTGACTGAGGCTTTTAGATTATGCCATTAAAGAGCACTTTACTAGCAAACGAGCACTGGTGCCTACTGTTATTGCCCAAAATGATTACTCTCATGTATAACTAGAAGAATCTACATCAATACCTATATAAAGATGTGTGTATATTAATTGATCATACATGCCTATGCACATATACTAAAGTGAATCACTCGATATTCATTGACCTAACCATTACAGTTCAGAATCGATGAGATACAATTCATAAGAAAAAAAAAGTATTGAGTACTAAAGTTGTAAACAATATTATGGTTGCTTGCCTCATATATATATATATATATATATATATATATATATATATATATATATATATATATATATATATATATATACTTGTACTCACTGTTGCTTGCCCACC